ACCAAATCTACATGAAAATCAAATTAAATTAACTATTGATATTAATAATTATAATGACCACAAATTTTTATGCAATTGTTCCAAATAATTCATCGGTACGAAAAAAAGAAAAAAAAAGAAAAACTTAAAATATTTCTTTTAATTAAAAATAAAACATTTTTATAAAATAATGTTAGAATAACCAAACTCAAATTCGAATTCAATATTTTATAATATGAGCTATCAATTACTGGAAAAAAAATTAAAAAAGCCTAAAATAATTTTATTATACTATCTAATTATTAAATAAATGTGTTAATTAAATAAAAATTCAATAATAGTTTGTCAAAATACTAATAAAAGTTGAAATCACGTACTTCAAATGAAGAAATACAATAGACAGAAATATTCGCTGATTCGATGAAAAATTGTCTATATTTTAAAGTGTTATAATTACATTTAAAAAATCGTATAACAATTGATCTTGTTTTAAAATGCGTAATTCACTTTAGCAGCCCTGTTACTTTTTTTTCAAAAATGTTTTTATATCATTTTTAGATGCAAATGGAGAAGCAGTATATTTTTGTTCTCAAGAATTGTCAAAATTCAAATTAAAAAATCTTTTCATGATTAAATCCACAGTGGTATTGAAGATTGAAGAATTTTCTCTTTACAACGATCTCTTAAAACTCACTGTACAATTTTTTTTCACTATTTTATTGAACATTGAACATTAAAGTTAAATAACAATTATTTCTTGAATTTTTGTTGTTTAACTCTGATGTTTGAAATTCAAAAAAAATCATACAGCAAGTTTTAAGGAGTCGATGTGAAGGAAATTACTCATGAAAAATTTTTTTCAATGATTTCAGAGGCGTTTAAATTTTTACAATTTTCGACAAAAAAAAAAAAGTATCTGCTTTTTCATCCGCTGCATGATACAAAAACATCGTTGAAAAAAAACTCAAGATTGATAAAGTAGAGATTTCATGCTTTAAAATCAGACCAATTGGATTGTTGCATGACTATTATGGCGATAATTCATCAAGCGTATGAATACTTTTGTCCACCTAACACCATAATTTTCAACAGTAAAGTGATATTCTGCGTCACAAATTGACGATCTAGGCTGATTTAATAATTTTCCTAAAACATCCAACATTCTGCTCACTATCATAACAGAAAAATCAATAAAATTATGCTATACCTTTATATGTTAATTTGCAATAATCTCATTATCGTCATAATTATTTTTATATTTACATAAATTTATTTTTATTTTCAACAATACATTCCTTTAAAATGATTATGAATTATTTTTTTAATATGATCATCATGAATAATTTTTAGTATGAATCATAAAATTGATGTAGACTATAATTTTGTTTAATAATAAATCTTTTTTTAACATTATTACTACTTATTATTAAGAAAGTTATAATTTATAAAATTTATAAAATAATATAATAATTAAATGAAAAGATTTTATTAACATACATCACATTATTAATTTTATTCATTTATTTTATTAAATATCTTAACAAGACTTATAGCGCTTTGTAACAACTTTATATATATTTAGATTTTATAGTTATACTTTTATTCATATTTATTTGATTAAACATTTACAGCATTTTTTAATGACTTTATTTAAATAAATATAAATTTTGTAGTTAACGAAACCAGGATTAAACTTCATCTCTATCATTATTATATATAGTATTTCATTTAATTTGTGCTTCTAATTGACAAATAACACTCTCCATTCTTTTTTTATAGTTTTATGAAATCTAATCTATGATTTTATTATGAATTTTATTATGAAATCTAATCTAAATTAACGAACTATGAAATAAGATCAAAATATTATGTTTATAATATATATGAAAGGTAAATTAAAATGTTAATATACACATCCATCCCTGAACAAATTGAAGTTTTCCAAATAAATTATTAAACTAGTAATTTTATTTCATTTAATACATCAGTACATAATTCTTAAAATGATAATTAAATAATAAATATCTACATATTAATTTTTAGATTTATTTCTTTTTTTAGCAGAAACTCTAAACTTTTTCTATAGTATTAGCAACAATAATAGTTTTCAATACTATTTCATTAATACAATTTGAAGGTCACCAAAATATACGTTGTATATTGTTCAATTTATTTTATAAATGTAACAACTAGAACTTTATGTTAATAAAATATAATATATTTTAAGCATGAGGATTACGGAATTTCTCTCCTGCATATTTGGCAGCCGCACCCAATTCTTCTTCAATACGAAGAATCTGATTATACTTTGCCAAACGTTCCGAACGGCAAGGTGCACCTGTTTTAATTTGACCAGTAGACAGACCAACAACTAAATCAGCTATAAATGTATCTTCTGTTTCTCCAGAACGATGAGAAACCATAGTACCCCATCCAGCGCTTTTAGCAAGTTTATGAGCATTAATTGATTCGGTGACAGTGCCTATTTGATTAACTTTTAATAACAAACAGTTGCAAGCTTTCTTCTCAATAGCTGTTTTAATTCTGCAACGTATAATAAATTCACAATATCATTACTTGTATTATTACTTTTGAATTTTAATGAACACGATTACTTTTTAAAACTTATAAATTTTACATTCGATATTATTGTATTCATATAATGAAATGTAATTGTAAAATAAATTGTAAAATTGATATTTTTAATTATATCAATTTTCTATAAATTTGTAATTATACATTAAATATGTAATTAAAAGAAATCTAAAATAATTCAACTTTACCTTTCAGGATTTGTGACAGTGAGATCATCACCCACAATTTGAATAGGAGTAGAAGATGTCAAAGAGGTCCATGAATCCCAGTCATCTTGATCAAACGGATCTTCAATCGATACAATTGGAAATTCCTTAACAAATTCTAAATATAAGTTTTTCAAAGCTTGCGACTCCAAATATGTGCTTGGATCAGATTTTTCATTCTTAAAATCTAAATCATATTTTCCATTCTTATAAAATTCAGATGCAGCAACATCCATACCAATCTTGATTTTTCCTTCATATCCAGCAACCTAAATTGTACAATGATTGAGTAATTATTTCAATAATTATTTTGATAATATTAAATTTAATACTATAGGAAAGAATTTTCCATAAATTTGTTGGTATAGAACTATTTTTTTTTTAAACTTAACTAAAATGCTTACTTTAATAGCATCTATAATCAAATTTAAAGCTTCTTTATTCTCGAGAATATTTGGAGCAAAACCACCTTCATCACCAACGGCAGTAGCATCAAGACCAAATTTCTTTTTGATACCAGCTTTCAAATGATGGTATACTTCAGTACCCATTTTCATAGCTTCAGTGAAATTGGCAGCACCCGTGGGTAAAATCATAAACTCCTGCATTGCCAATTTGTTTCCAGCATGTGAACCTCCATTAATAACATTGAAAGCTGGAACTGGTAAAATAATATCGGAATTTCCCGCCAATTCCGCAATATATCTGAAATTAAAATTATTTATTATATCTTAAATGCCAAAGATTGCATAAAATATAAAATTTTGTTTATTTTATTATTTGAGAGATGGTAGTGTATTGACCTTAGATATTATTAGATTATACATTAAGCATAATTGTTATATTAGAATACAATTATTTATTTTGCGAATATAAATAAGAGTGTTCACGGATTTACCATCCAGCGTTTGTTCTCGTATAGATGAAAAAATGCCATGGGAAAATGAAAGACAAAGTTATATTGTTTTTTGTACGCAACGTAATGGTACATAAAAATTTTTTCTATTCATACTTTTTTTTGAGAACTGAAAATAACTTTCAATTTCTTAAATGGAATGATATATAATTTTTTTTGTTATATGCAAATATGAAGACGAATTCAACGATATACCATTCAATGACCTTCACACTTACATAAAGTCAGGAATGAAAGAAATAGTTTGGATATTGCGTATTCATATTCATGTATTCATATCATATATTCATACTGAGATGTTTACAATTGTTCATATTCAATATGATTTCTATTCGCTAAAATACACTTTTGTGCTCTGTGAAATACACTTTTGATGGCTTCTGCTATTTGTACTTGTGGTATAAATGCACAGGCATTTGTTATTTTTGAAATCGTTTACACTGAAAGATGATACACTTTGTATGGTACGTTTATGACATGACAACTGCTATTGCAAGAAAAACTCGCACTTGAAACTAATTGAAATTTATACGTAGTATAAGCCTTTTCAAAATCGTCAGTATTTGAAGGAAAAAAAATGTCTAAAAATTCCTAATTTGACATACTCAGTCTGAAGCCACGTTATAAATACCATGTCATATACCGTTAGCTTTAACAAATAGTTTTGTATAACTAATTATAATTAAAAAATCCAACAATAAATAACAATACAAATCTAATTACAACATAAAATCACCAAAAATGTAGAAATATTTATATTGTACATGAACTGTAAACATCTCAATACAAAACGCCGGATACATCAATACATAATATCCAAACTATTTCTTTCATTCCTGATGTTTAAACATAAAGATTATTGAATGATACATCGTTGAATTCGTCTTCATATTCACTTTTGTATAACATAAAAAAAAATATAATTCTATTTAAAAAGTTAAAGATCATCTTCAATTCTTAAAAAACAGTATGACTAGAAAAAAATTTTATGCACCATTAAACTGTGTATAAAAAACAATACAACTTTATCCTCTTTCATTTTTCCATAGCATCTACCGTTTAGAAGAAAAAACGCTGAATATTAAATACGTGAATACCTTGTATATTTATTATATCTGAATAATTTTAAAGTTAAATATATAAGTTGCAAGTAAATTAAAAATCATACTTATATAAAGAAGTCCCTTTTTTAGCAGCTCCTGCTTTACAAACTGCCAAAGAAACACCAAGAAGTGCATTTGCACCAAGTTTTGACTTATTTGGTGTACCATCAAGTTTCAAAAGAAGGTTATCAATATCAATTTGTTGCGTGACTTCCAAATTTGACTAAATAACAAACATTCTTATATTAATTAATTAATTACACGAACGTGCGTATCTTTTATATGTATTTAAAAAATAGATTAATAAATTAACAAGATAAATAAATTATAGCATATAACAGATAATAGCAAAAATAGATAGTATAAAATTGAAAGATGTCTGAAAATAATATATTATAGATAGTTAAACATTTAATACCTTTAACAATTCAGGTGTAACAATACTATTGATATTTTCTACAGCTTTGAAAACAGACTTTCCATGATATTTAGATTTATCATTATCTCGAAGTTCTAAAGCTTCGTGAACACCAGTGGAAGCACCTGATGGTACTTCAGCTCTAAACAACCCATCATCTGTGGTAAGATCAACCTAGAAATAAAATATGTCATATATGAAACTATAAAAACATTTTATCTTATTTTAATATTTTATTTTTAATTGACCGAATTAAATGAATTACAATGTAAAATTTTACATATAATTAAAAATGAACAATATACATATATTAATATTACATCAATATTCAATGTAGGTTACATAATATACATTTGTCATAATGAATTATAATTTACAAATTATAATTCATTACAATAATTTAAGAATACAAATTATTATATTAAAATAAATCTTTATTCTATAAACAACATTATATTTAAAATATAATTTAATACATTTAAGTATCTTACCTCTACAGTAGGGTTACCACGAGAATCAAAAATTTGACGAGCCTTAATACTTTTGATTGGCATTTTTTCACTATAATTAGTACTGTATTTCCTGATTAAAAGCCTGAAATGGAAGTATATAACAATAAAGAAAACATGTACTAATCTTAAATGTAGAAAAATTATTAAATACAAATGATTTAGAAAGTTAAGAAAGTTGTATATTCCAACCTTCAAATTACACGTCAGTTATTAATAATTTTAAATATAAATCGACTTCCTTTTAACATTAACATTAAATTATATTTAAATTTATGTATCTTAAGTGTTTTTTACAAAATATTTGTGAAATTAAGATCACTAGCAGACAAGTTGGAAACTTGGAAATAATTGGTTTGACCTTGTCAAGGTCGCTGGAAGAAATCTGAAACTCTTAAAATTAAGTTAACACTTCTTTTATTTCAAAAAAAATATAACATACTTCAAAATTAATTATAATGTAGTCGAACTATTGCATATAATGACCTTATAGTGAAACTTCGGCACTGAATGCACGCGGCACGTATTAAAATCATTTTTATAGAAATTTAAGAAACAAAACACTGCAGAAAATGTATATATAAAATCTTGATGTTTTATATAGAAATTCTTGCAGATGCGATTTCTTACATATACTGCAAAATTAAAGAAAATATCCTCACCTACAATGTATGAGAATCCTCTTGAAGTATTCGCAGTAGAATGACACTGTCCTACAGTTGACCTCAAATTGCAAAGGCAGCTCTCCTATTGATTCTTATAACCTCACGTATGAACATATAAATCTAATCGCACGAAAGCGTTAAAACTAATTTTTCAACTTAGAATTTGAAAATAAGATAAAATCAAAATATATGAAAAAAGAATTTTAAACTCTTAATTAAATATAATTTGTTACTATCAAAATTATATAATATAAGCTATATTTCTATTTTATTACCGATTAAATGTAAATTTCATTATGATTTACTATCTTTGTATTGCATTGCTCGTGTTCTCTATTGCAATTTATATATTAATGCGCGTATTTGTGAAATATTGTTGAAATAATTCTTATGAATTATTAAATTCATGCGATTTCAGTATTTCACAAAAATATAATAAATAATTAATATTTGTAATGTTAATAATATTATAATTAATAATATATAATAAACAATTTGCATTCATATATTTTTATATATTTAGTTATATTTATAATAACAAAGATAATGTATTGAATAATTGTAATATTAAGGTCATTTATTTCAAAATAAATATATTGTTATATAATATAATATCGAAAACATTAAAAATAAATTTTATTAAAAACAATTGAGTATATTTTTTCTCTTAAATTAATAAAACTAAACCATATATTAAAATATTATTGTATGAATTAACATATCAGTGTATGAATTCAGTTCAATATGTGAATAATTAAAAAATATATTATATATAGTACATTAAACATATAAGTATATTATTTATTATAATTTTTTATTATTCATTATTATTTATTATTATTGCTATTTGGTTAATATGTGTACTTTATATTGGTTCTATTAGATTTCTGTTTTAGTTTCAAATATTTCCTGGGATATTTTGAAAATATTATTTCACTAGATAGTTGTTATATCAGTAACGGCTAGTTATTTCATCAGGTTACTAAATTAGTATAAAAATTTCTTATTTTTTATATTTTAATTTATACTTTAATTTTTCATAACATAATTTCTCATAATATGATTTCAATGATTTTTTGCATTTTTTTGTTCATATATTTTTCTCTATATTATTATTATATCCGTTTTAGTATATACAAGAGAGATCATGGCATTTTTATTTTTAGCTTATAACTCTTAAAATTAATTATTAAAATAAATAATTTTTCCTTTACTTTTATTTTAAATATAGACATATTGCTTTTTTTTTAAATTTTTACAAATTTAATTACATTTTTAAATTTTAGATTATTATGTAATTTAGATTATTATGTAATAAATAATAATTTTTTAAAATAAATATAAAAATTATATTTAATTACAATTATTAATAATAAGAAATTTTTAATTTTTAATGAAAAAATCCTGAAAGTAAAATAATAACTTAATTAAAGATTTAATTTAATATATATAAAATTCATTTAGAGTTATTAATAACTTAATGTTATTATAAAATTATTATAATATAAATGTTACGTCAAACAAGTGTTTGTTTTACTTGTCTTTCATTTTTGTTGTGTTATCTATTTTATGAAAATAAATAGATAAAATCTAGCTTTTTATTATTTTTTTTTATTAAATTCATAAATTTATAAATTTTTATTAAAGTAATAATTGTATATAATAATTTTATTTTTAATTACATATTATGTTTTATCTGAATATATCTGAATTTAAAACAAAACAATTATATTTAATAACTTAAATTAAATACCAAATTAAAATATTATAAAAGATATAATATTTTATAGAAGATATCTTCTTTAAACTTTTTCAATGTTTTTACTGTTCAGATAGTATTAGACTCTAAAAGAAAACATTTAAAAAATATGTATCTATTTATAATATGAAATACACATATGTATATAAAGTTAGTTCTTTTTAAACCAAATGTAAAATCATTTTATATTTTATGAATCATTTTTTTCCTTTTTTGTAATATTTAAATCTTTCTTCTGTACCTTACCACCTATATATATAATTATATATGATACTTTTATATTATTTTAATTGTATATCAATATAACGTTTATCATTTAAAATTTAATGAAATTAGTTTTTTGTGGAAAAATATCTATAGATAGCTATGCAAATTAACGCATTGATACAAAAAATTTTTAATCATACGTTAATTAGAATTTGCTCATATTTATACATACAGGATATACAACTGGAAAATTCAATTTGTTTTTTAGGGCTTATTATTAATTCTTTTAATTATTTAGAATTTACAGATATATATTCAATAAGTATTAAGTTATATTGATAAAAGATATCACAAATTTTGTACAAATACTATTTTTGTTGAAAGTTTATTCAAAAATATTCAATTTTTATCATACAATTTGTACATGTGTAATTATATATTCCTAAAAATTAAATTTTTTCATTTACAATTTCAAAAATAAATTACAATTAGCGAGTTGTTACAATATAATAATATAATATTAAATTTTTGAGAAATATATTTGATACTGAACTAAATACGATGAACTGAATAATATAATAACATAATATTAAAGTTTTGAGAAATTTGTTGCTTGATACTGAACTAAATGTGATGAACTGACTAAAATTATTTAAATAAATATTTACATTTAGTATTAAACTGTTTTTGTAACTAAGTATTACTATATTCATAAACAAAATAATTGTTATATTACAATCATTTAATATATTATCAATTCATGAATTGTATTTTTAAAGGCATAAGTATTTTATTTTTTCAATAGTATTCTATCTGCACCATTGTCTTATCAATTAAAATAAACCTATAGAGATCAAAATATTTTAAAGGCACTCTATATACATGTTATAAATTTTGTAGTCTATTATACATGTTATAAATGTAAAGAAAGTGCCAATATTGTAAAATGAAGATAATTTTATCGCTTGAATGTTTCATATCTCACACCTATAAAAGGGTGATACATTAATATTATTAAGATTGCTGTGTTTTGAGAAATGCATCTGTTCGGTATAGATTATATTATTTCAGTTTTACGACTACTAAGACTTTTTTTTATCAATGCCCAATCTTCAAGGATGTCTGCATCATTAAGCATATAAACAATGTAAGGTCCAGCAACAGAAACAGCTCTTCTTCTTTCAGTATGATTTCTGCGTCTTCTACCATTAGAATTTAACCATAAATCAGCATGAATATCAACATTATTTCTATCTTCTTCCAATCTACGTATTTTTTCTTGTAAGTCATTATGAATGCAGTCCCAGATTAATTCTTTCTCACTCTCAAAATTTTGTAATGCAGCTTGTTCTTCTGCTAAAAATTTATTTTGGATATTTTGTAGTCTATATTGCTTTAATATTCCAGCTACTTCTGTCTTTGTTTTCATATTTTCTTTTAATCGTTCCAATGGTACTAAATATTCTTCAGATTTTCCTACTCGAACTTCTCCTAATTTTGTATCTACTTGAGTAATTCTTTCACGGTAAAGCCTAAAATTATGAAAATTAAAATGTCAAACTTACAATGACAAAATTCATTCTATAAAAATATTATATTTAAAACTTACTGTTCTTTAAGAAGTGTAAATTGTCTTTCTAAATCTACTAAATTTTCCATGCATTCATTACGTCGTCTTTCACATTCATCTTCATCCATCTCTGAAGAATCATCGCTATCACTGTGTTCTGCACTACTGTCACACGATGCAGAACTTTGATTACTTTCATTACTGTCATGAGACATTTCTTCTCCTTCTGCTTCAGATTCATCTTTGACGCTTGGCATCTGTCTAATTGTTAAACATACTTATAGAATTATAGAAGTAGCAACAAAAAGATTATATTTTTAGTATATATAAAAATGTTCAAATTATATTTAATAACAGGTTTGAAAATATTTAATTTTAAAATAACATAACCTTAAAAATGTATTGTTTACAGTACATTATATTATACATCATATAAATTATTTTAATATTTGTGAAAGTATATTACAAATTATATTGTACTAATGAAACTGTAACTAATGTTAACATAAATTTAATATTCTAACAATATTAATATTTTTATAACTAAAAATTCGAGAAAATTCTCTTAAGTTATTATTTACTAAATCTCACTTTGATATATACACACACACACACACACACACACACACA